ATCACTTTGCTCGCTCATTGGATACGTTCTTAACGTCAAGCTTTTGTATATTTTTTTGAACACTGAAGTTCCGAAAACTTTTCACTGTAGAAAATTCTAAAACTCTGCATTTAGAATAGAATAGTAATAATTTAGAATGATTAAGAAAAATATGTGAACTATTTGCAATTTCAAATTAATATTGAAATTTCAGTTGTTGAGAAAAGTAACTGTTGTAAGTTTTATTTTAAAGTTTTTCCCACCAGAGGGCTAAAACCATGTGTTGTAAAATAATATGAAATAGTACTGAACTCCGGATGTAAAGCATCGGCTTCGATGAAGATAATTTTGTAAGAATTGTTTTGATAATTCGGGGAGAATTCACCCGATTAGACATATGATGCACACTACGTGCTCTTGCTCGCCGAAGCCTATCAATTAAAACGTATTAGCGTTTTATATAATATAGATTAGCCATATGATGCTCACTACGTGCTCTTGCGCGCCGAAGCCTATCAATAAATAATGAAAACTGTTGCCAACGAGAGAAAAGAAATAACATCGATTTTATTGATACATACGTACGTATTAGCGTTTTATATAATATAGATACGTAATATGATTCGTCATCTTTCGCATTGTGATACATAAATATCACTAAAATAATTTTTAAAAATGTGTGTAGCATGTGTGTAGAATGTTCAGCAAGGAGATTTTAAAGATTTTACGATACTGAAAATAAAAGATATTAAAAAAGATAAAACTCAAAAATAACCCTTGTGTTAAAATAGAGCTGTCACATTTAATGAGTCATCTTCGCCGATTACGCCCACTTCGTCTGTACGTCAGCAAATCCCCTATCTAGTAGTGTAAAATCCCAGAAATCCCCTTTCTAGTACTGTGAAATCCTCCGAATCCCCTATCTAATGTTGTAAAATCCCCAAACTTTTCCTGTTTCTGTATTCCTATCTACTATATTGTTGCATTATATAATATTGTCAACTTAAATTAGCATAATAGCATAATAATAAGCATAATAAACTAAGAGGCTCAATTATGTTTCATTCACATTTAACTTCGTTATCGTGTTATAAAGTGAAGGAAGGTGTTATAAGGGATTTAATTTGAAACAAATTTTCAGGATTTTATACTAAGGAAACAATAATTTTAAGTAAACTAGTGCAAGGTTTAAACTACATAATAGTTGAAAATTAAAAGTTAACTCTCCATACTAGGTATCTTGAGTATATTATTAAACATAGTAGAAGAATTTATTTCAGAAAAATGGCCATAATGCTATTTGTCGTCATATTATATGTAACATCATGGGTTTAGATTCTCAAGTTTATTTTTTTGCAATAAAAAGTAAAATTCGTATAGTGGAGGAGGGGGGGTAAAAAATCACCAAACTATTATTGACATCAGTCATACTTAAACAATAATGGTATTGGCTACCAGTTGTGTTTTGATAGCTACCATATAGGTACATAATATAATTACTGAGACAATAAGTTTTCATCGTCCCCCGAAACGAAATAGTACCCACTAAATATATGGTTATATGGACACCTCTTTTTCATATCATGTGTCACCAAAGCTAGTATAGCAATTTATGAATTTGAAATCATTTTTGAATTTCCACTTTCACTTAAAATATGCAAATTTAAAAAAGTTGATATTTTAATTAATATAATTTACTTGAAATTTTTTTTGGAAGGAAGTTGCTTATAATGTGTTAAATTTCATGATAATCTACTTTCCATTTTATACTTCATTTTGTTGTTGTATCTAATCACGTCAGCAATTTATTTTTACTCTTCTTTAATTTCAGCTCCGTAAACAGGATAATGATTAATGTTTTTTTCATCTCAATTTTTAATTAAAATATTAAAAAGCTTCAATTTCAAACAATTTAAATTTGTGTGTGCAATATTTTAATTTTCCGCATTCCAATATAGGCAGAATGTAATATAGGTACAGGAGTAATAGGTTTTTTACAAAGAAGAAAATTATAAATATAGTTTTTGAACGTTATTAATATCGATAAAACAATCAGTCAAGCAAAAGAAATTGCGTAGATTAATCAATCATAGGTATCTAATAATATTGCATGAATTGAAACTAAAGTCAACTTCGACGGAAGCCAAAATAATAAAGAAATCTGCAATTAATAATGAAGTTATAAATTATTGGAGACTTCCTGATTGCGATACTAGAATTTTCCTGCAGTGAAGAAAATCTTTTTCGTCAAATTTTTAAAAATTTTAATCTAAATTTAAAACTTAAATATTTTTTTAAAAAAATATCTAATTAATTAAAAAGAAAGTTAAATTTAATCATCCCTTAGCTTAATTGTCATTAGACCCTTTAAAACATTGGCAAAAGACTTTATAAAATATTTGATATACCAATCAATCAAAGTATTTTACTATCAATGACGTCATACGTTCTAAAACATACGATCCATTGCTCATAAATTATAATTGAATTCATACTCTTCTTGCGAAATTACGAAAACTCCTAAAGAGCTAAAGAAACTGTTAGTTTTTTAACTTTTATTTTAAATAACATATAGCTATTTAAACTATATTTTTCTAATTGCCTTGAAATATAGTTTTCCTTTAAAAAGATAATGTTTATAGTCAAAAAAGTCGCTAGCAAACTATGATCTGGTAATTTACTGAACATCAAATTCCAGATGTGTTTTAATTATTTATCACTTTTAGTTCGCTTTTATCTGCTTGGCATCTTCTTCCTAATGAAAATGAATACTACATTAAACTAATATTAAGCTTTTAAACTCACAGCTAAATTTTAAATCTCAGCCTCTCTTTCATATCCGTAAATTTAGATTTAGATTATCTACAGCTTAAAAGCGAAACTCTTCAAATAGCAAAAAGAAAAGAGAAATGATAAATAAATGTATAACAACTTAATATATCAGTTTCATGGATTGCTATGTCATATTTAAGTACGTAGCTTAAGGGGGGACCCCACCCTGAATATTTCAAAAATTCAAAAAATAAATTTATAGCATTTTTCGAATCTTTGAACCCTTCCTAATGTCTGTCTAAAACGATTTCTCGGTACCTAACTTCGTTTGGAAGTTATACCGGAAAAAAAGAGAGTCGTCGCTAAGCATGTAGAAAGACCCATTCGGACGGATTAGGAGGGGCGAACTTCTTTTTGTGTCTCATCCATTCTGTTGACTGTATATAGAAACTTATTGTCGGCATTTCATTTATCGACAATTATATATATGAAATTAAACGTTTTCCTATACAATAAGTCAAAACTTTTAACCCGTTTTTCTCAAAACGCTGTTTTTTAACCTGTTTTAAAGGTTTTAAGAAGACGAAATTCCTCATTTTAAAGCAATCGAACGCACTATTTTAGATATGCGTACATGTTAAACTACAGGGACACATTGTGTACCCCCTATGAGGTTTATAATTATTTCCTCTGGTAGGGAACACTATTATCCTGTAATATAATACGTGGTCCAATTAAAATATTATGGATCAATATTAAGGTCTGATATCGGACCTTACGTTAATATTGAAAAATGTCTTCGAATCGCCTAGTTTTAAAGGTTTTTAGAAGATGAATTTCCTCGTTTCAAAGCGATCGAACGCACTATTTTAGATATGCGTACATGTTAAACTACAGGGACACATTGGGTACCCCCTATGAGGTTTATAATTATTTCCTCTGGTAGGGTACAATATTACCCGGTAATATAATACGTGGTCCAATTAAAATATTATGGGTCAATATTAAGGTCTGATATCGGGCCTTGCGTTAATATTGAAAAATGACTTCGAGTCGGCTAGTTTTAAAGGTTTTTAGAAGACGAATTTCCTCATTGCTAAATATTCGTTGGCCTGGCATGTGCAGCGTGGCGAAGTTGGAAGCGCTAGGGGCAAGTTTGATTTGTTGTCCCGGAGAACCTGAATTCGAAACCCTGTGAGGGTCGACTTTCAAATTTTTTTATTTATTTTATATTATTTTTTTAGCATATTTTTCGATATTTTAACGCGAATAAAGTGTTCTGTGTATAAAAATAACTATTTTTCTTTGGGAAGTATCGAATAATGGCTAATAAACGGATAAATTTCGGATAAATTTTATTTATTTATTTATTTTATTTATGTTATTTTTTTAGCCTCTTTTTCAATATTTTAAATTCAATAAAGTGCTCTATAATTAAAAAGAATTATTTTTCTTTGTCAAAGAGCGAATAATGGCTGTAAAAGGGACAAAATTCGCATCAGGAGGAGCGCACACAACACATCCCGTAACTCCCTATAATATTAACCTATAAACTTCAAACTCAGCCCGAACTTAGAGTTTAATGCAACGAACAATTGTAATAAAGTAATTTTTTATAGACCAAATAGTGGGCCCACAATAACCCAAAATATGTTTTGTTGACTAACCGGGAGGAGGTACTTTAAGCTAAATATTCGGGAGGCAGGTATGTGAAGAGTGGCGAAGTTGGTAGCTCTTTGGCAAGTTAGACTTGTTGTCCCGGAGACCCTGGGTTCATTATCCTGTGAGGGTCGACTTTCAAATTCTTTTTATTTATTTTACACTACTTTTTTAAAATATTTTTCGATATTTTAACGAGAATAAACTGCTTTGTACAGAAAAATAACTATTTTTTCATCGGGAATTAGCGTATAAAAATCTAATAAATGGATAAATTTCGGATAATTTTTAATTATTTTATTTATGTTATTTTTTTAACTTCTTTTTCATAATTTAAATTGAATAAAGTATTTTATAATTAAAAAGAATTATTTTTCTTTGTTAAAGAGCGAATAATGGCAGTAAAAGAGACAAAATTCGTATCAGGAGGCACGCACACGTCACACCCCGTAACTCCCTATAATATTAACCTATAAACTTCAAACTCGGCCCGAAGTTAGAGTTTTATGTAACGAACGATTGTACAGGGTAACAAAAAAATATAGGGATCATTTTTGAATGTTTTTATTTCCAAAGTTTATTACATAAATTCAGCAGTGATTCTCAATATGTCGACCTCCGGCATAATAGATTTGTCTACAACGCATCGGCCATGATTTTAAAGCCCGCAAAATGATTTCCTGGGGGATTTTCTTCACCTCTTCTCTAATAGCTCTTTGAAGGCCTCGCAATGTAGAAATTCTTCGGTTATTCAGTTTGTTTTTCAGATGTCCCCATAGGAAATAATCGCATGGTGCAGCATCAGGACAGTTTGGAATCCATTGTTCTGGTCTCAGGAATTGCACTTGCTGATCTGTTAGGAATTTCTGGGTGACCTTAGATGCATGCGATGGGGCAGAGTCCTGATGTGAAACAGCATCACCATTAGGGTAAAATCTGCAGTAATCATCCTCAAGAAAGGGATTTAATATCTTCGGTATGTAATACTCAGAATTTATTTCGGCCCCAGGTTTCACAAACCGAGGTTCGGTCACACCATGGGCGGATATGCCCATCCAAACCATTACGCCTTTGGGATGAGGCACCGTGGTTGATGGTGTCAAGTCTCGCCTGTTCTGCCCACGGCTAAGATATTGAACTTTAGATTTAGCATTGGTATCAGATAGATAGATCCAAGCTTCATCAGTTGTAATGAACTTTCGCCATCTGTCCTTACGGAGAAGCTTGTAGAGGGGCCATGAACGTTGCCTCCTAATCTGCACCGATCTCTCACTTAAATGATGACATTTAGGTTTTTTATGGCATTTTTTCTTCAACTTTTGTTTTAGTTGATAGCTTACAACTTGCTGACTCACGTTAAGAGCTTTAGCCATGCTTGCCTGTGTTGGTGGATCCGGTTTTGATGTCATCTTATCAAGCTTCTGCAAATCTGATTTCTTCAATTTGCTTGGCCGTCCACTTCTTTTTGGTTTTGCATTATTTTGCATCGATCCGAGTTTTGAATTCTTGATGCGACTGATATGGCTGAGTGAAATCGCAATACCTTTCTTTTTAAAATGGGTTTGTATAATCCTGTGGCTCCATCGAAGTTCTAAAAATGATTGTATTTGACTAATTAGCTTTTTGTCAAATTTCTTCAAAGGCATTTTTGTGATTTTATGAAATAGTATTGCAATAGAAAGTCTAATAGCAGAGCTTTAGATCAGTATACTATATATGTAAAAAAGTTTTAAAACTTTAGTGGTAGATAACCACAAAAGTGATCCCTATACTTTTTTGTTACCCTGTACCAAAGTAATTTTTTATAGACCAATTAGTGGACCCACAATGACCCAAAATATGACTTGTTGACTAACCGGGAGGAGGTATAGCTAAATATTCGCGAGAGCTTCGTGCGAAGCGTGGCGTGGTTGAAAGAGTGCTGCGGACAAGTTAGCCCTATAGGACCTGGGTTCCAAACCCAGCGGCGATATGAGATTTTTAATTTTTTTCATTGTTTATTTAATTTCATATTATTTTTTTTAAAGTGTTTTAGCGGGAATAACGTTTTCTTATTATAAAAGTTATTATTTTTCTTTTGGAAAACAGAAAATAATAGCATAAAAGCGGATAAATTACGAATAATTTTTTTATTTATTTATTCATTTTTTATTATTATTTTAACTACATGTCTTTCCATATTTTACCAAAAATAAAGTGTTTTTTAAAAAAAGTTAATATATGTCGGTCTTAAAGGGCGAATAATGTCTGAAAAACAGTCAAATATGGTCTTTGGAAGCATGCACACTTCACCCCCTTAGCTTCCTTTAATATTAACCTATAATATTTAAGCTCGGTCAGAAATTTAGGTTCATTGTAGCGAAGAAACGTACCAAAGGAAACATTTATAGGCTTATTAGGGGACCAACAATGGACCATAATACGTTTTGTTTACTTATCGGCAAAAAGGGTACTTAAAGCTAAATATTCGCGGGAGCTTCGTGGGAAGCGTGGCGTGGTTGGTAGAATTCTGCGCTCAAGTTAGCCATGGAGAACCGGGTTTCGAAACCCTGCGGCGATTTGGGATTTTTAATTTTTTAAATTTTTTATTTTATTTCATAATATTTTTTAACTTGTTTTAGCGCCAATAAAGTTTTCTTATTATAGAAATTATTATTCTTCTTTTGCAAAACAGCAATGAATAGCATAAAAGCGGATTAATTACGAGTAATTTTTTAATTTATTTATTTATTTTTTATTATTATTTTAACTGCAAGTCTTTCCTTATTTTACATAAAATAAAGTGTTTTTTAAATAAAAATAAGTATATCTCGGTCTTAAGGTGCGAATAATGTCTGAAAAACAGTCAAATATGGTCTTTGGAGGCATGCGAACTTCATCCCCTTAACTCCCTTTAATATTAACCTATAATATTCAAACTCGATCAGAAATTAAGGTTCAATGTATCGAAGAATCGTACCAAAGGAAACTTCTATAGGCTTATTAGGGGACTAACAAAGGACCAAAATACGTTTTGTTTACTTACCTGGAAAGGGTACTTAAAGCTAAACATTCGCGAGAGCTTCGTGTGGAGCTTGGCGTGGTTGGTAGAGTGCTGCGGACGAGTTAGCCCTATAGAACCTGGGTTCGAAACCCACCGGCGATATGGGATTTTTATTTTTTTTTCATTGTTTATTTTATTTCATATTATTTTTTAACTTGTTTCAGCGTCAATAACATTTTCTTATTATGGAAATTACTATTCTTCTTTTGAAAAACAGCAATAAAAAGCATGAAAGCGGATAAATTACGGATAATTTTTTTATTTATTTATTTATTTTTTATAATTATTTTAACTACAAGTCCTTCCATATTTTTTCAAAAATAAAGTGTTTTTTAAATAAACATAAGTATATCTCGGTCTTAAAGCGCGAATGATGTCTGAAAAACAGTCAAATACGGTCTTTGGAGGCATGCGAACTTCACCCCCATGACTCCCTTTAATATTACCCTATAATATTCAAACTCGGTCAGAAATTAAGGTTCAATGTACCGAAGAATCGTAAAAAGGGAAATTATTATAGGCTTATTAGGGGACCAACAAAGGACCAAAATACGTTTTGTTTACTTATCGGTAAAAGGTACTTAAAGCTAAATATTCGCGAGAGCTTCGTGTGAAGCGTGGCGTGGTTGGAGGAATGCTGCGGCAAAGTAGCCCTGGAGAACCTGGGTTCGAAACCCTGCGGAGATTTCAGATTTTAATTATTTTCATTGTTTATTTTATTTCATATTATTTTTTTTAATGTGATTTAGCGTCAATAACGTTTTCTTATTATAGAAATTATTATTTTTCTTTTGAAAAACAGTAATAAATAGCATAAAAGCGGATAAATTACGAATAATTTTTTTATTTATTTATTTATTTTTTATAATTATTTTAACTACAAGGCTTTCCATATTTTACCGAAAATAAAGAGTTTTTAATATAAAAATAAGTATATCTCGGTCCTAAAGCACGAATAATGTCTGAAAACAAATATGGTCTTAAGAGGCATGCGCCCTTCACCCCTTAACTCCCTTTAATATTAACCTATAATATTCAAATTCGGTTAGAAATTAAGGTTCAATGTACCGAAGAATCGTACCGAAGGAAACTTTTATAGACTTATTAGGGGACCAACAAAGGACCAAAATACGTTTTGTTTAGTTATCGGTAAAGGGTACTTAAAGCTAAATATTCGCGAGAGCGTCGTGTCAAGCGTGGCGTGGTTGGTAGAATGCTGCGGCAAGGTAGCCCTGGAGAACCTGGGTTCGAAACCCTACGGTGATTTGAGATTTTATTTATTCTCATTGTTTATTTAATTTCATATTATTTTTTTTAAAGTGTTTTAGCGTGAATAACGTTTTCTTATTATAAAAATTATTATTTTTCTTCTGAGAAACAGCAAATAATAGCATAAAAGCGGTTAAATTACGGATAATTTTTTTGTTTATATATTTATTTTTTATTATTATTTCAACATTAACTCTTTCTATATTTTACCGAAAATAAAGTGTTTTCTATATAAAAAAAAGTATATCTCTGTCTTAAATCTCGAATAATGGCAGAAAAACAGACAAATATGGTCTCAGGGGTCATGCACACGTCACCCCCCTTAACTCCCTGAAATATTAACCTATAATTTTCAAACTCGGTCAGANAACAAGTCTTTCCATATTTTACCGAAAATAAAGTGTTTTTTATTTAAAAATAAGTATATCTCGGTCCTAAAGCACGAATAATGTCAGAAAACAAATATGGTCTTAGGAGGCATGCGCCCTTCACCCCTTAACTCCCTTTAATATTACCCTATAATATTCAAACTCGGTCAGAAATTAAGGTTCAATGGACCGAAGAATCGTACCGAAGGAAACTTTTATAGGCTTATTAGGGGACCAACAAAGGACCAAAATACGTTTTGTTTAGTTATCGGTAAAAGGTACTTAAAGCTAAATATTCGCGAGAGCTTCGTGAGAAGCGTGGCGTGGTTGGTAGAATGCCGCTGCAAAGTAGCCCTGGAGAACCTGGGTTCGAAACCCTACGGTGATTTGAGATTTTATTTATTCTCATTGTTTATTTAATTTCATATTATATTTTTTAAAGTGTTTTAGCGTGAATAACGTTTTCTTATTATAAAAATTATTATTTATCTCTTGAAAAACAGCAAATAATAGCATGAAAGCGGATATATTTTTTATTTATTTATATATTTTTATTATTATTTTAACAACAAGTCTTTCCATATTTTACCGAAAATAAAGTGTTTTTTATTTAAAAATAAGTATATCTCGGTCCTAAAGCACGAATAATGTCAGAAAACAAATATGGTCTTAGGAGGCATGCGCCCTTCACCCCTTAACTCCCTTTAATATTACCCTATAATATTCAAACTCGGTCAGAAATTAAGGTTCAATGGACCGAAGAATCGTACCGAAGGAAACTTTTATAGGCTTATTAGGGGACCAACAAAGGACCAAAATACGTTTTGTTTAGTTATCGGTAAAAGGTACTTAAAGCTAAATATTCGCGAGAGCTTCGTGAGAAGCGTGGCGTGGTTGGTAGAATGCCGCTGCAAAGTAGCCCTGGAGAACCTGGGTTCGAAACCCTGCGGCGATGTGAGATTTTAATTATTTTCATTGTTTATTTTTTTTCATATTATTTTTTTTAATGTGATTTAGCGTCAATAACGTTTTCTTATTACAGAAATTATTATTTTTCTTTTGAAAAACAGCAATGAATAGCATAAAAGCGGATAAATTACGGATATTTTCTTATTTATTTATTCATTTTTTATTATTATCTTAACTACAAGTCTTTCTATATTTTACCAAAAATAGAGAGTTTTTTAAATAAAAATAAGCATATCTCGGTCTTAAATCGCGGATAATGTCTGAAAAACAGTCAAATATGGTCTTTGGAGGCATGCGCACTTCACCCCCTTAATTCTCTTTAATATTAACCTATAATATTCGAACTCTGTCAGAAATTAATCTTCAATGTACCGAAGAATCGTATCAAAGGAAACTTTTATAGGCTTATTAGGGGACCAACAAATGACCAACTTACCGGGAAAGGGTACTTAAAGCTAAATATTCGCGAGAGCTTCGTGTGAAGCGTTGTGTGGTTGGTAGAGTGCTGCGGACAAGTTAGCCCCGTAAAACCTGGGATCGAAACCCAGCGGCGATATGAGGTTTTTAATTTATTTAATTTTTTTTTATTTCATTTTTTTTAAAGTGCTTTAGCGTGAATAACGTTTTCTTATTATAGAAATTATTATTTATCTCTTGAAAAACAGCAAATAATAGCATGAAAGCGGATAAATTGCGGATATATTTTTTATTTATTTATATATTTTTATTATTATTTTAACAACAAGTCTTTCCATATTTT